GTCAACCTGTAAATCAATTTTCATTTTTCTTTAAGTCTTCTGGTTGAAGCACATCAATCCTTTCTTGTATCACCGTTAACAATAACCTTGTGGATAGTGGGATCCACACGAAATACCCCTTTACATTGTTAGCATAGTCCAAAAATTTCCATTTTTCAAACTTTAAAAACACAAACTTCTTCTTGATGTGATACACCCATAATCTCCTAGAGTAATCATTGTCATCACTAACACAAAATATTTGACCCCTCCTAAGAATAATATTGACGATTCCAACACATCAAAATAAACCAAGTTTAATATGTGTTTCCTCCTGATATAATTTGACAAGGGACTCCCAAATCTCCTTCATTGTACCCTTCTCCAAAAATTTGTTATAGCATTGTTTTAAATTTCTTCTCATCTTCGATCTATGATGCCCACGATTTTTTCCAATTGCTTTTACACAATTGTCTTTTATCAAAATTTCCTTCATCTTCAATTTTCACAATGAGAAACTATTCCCATTAAACTTTTCTATCTCATATTTTGTTGTCATGATTCCAAACTGACTTATACAATCCTCACTGTGAATAGTATTGTCTACTGAAACACCAACAATTAGACCGTGAACCAATACACTAGGTAAATTCCTAGAAAAGAGAGGTGGGTCACTAATGGATACGCTTAAATATCAGGTCTTTCCTTGCCAGAACTTTTCCTAGATATGCACTATCACACTACCAAATAATATCCAGTAACAAGAATAACTCGTTTTTTATGTGGAAGATAAGATTAACCGCAAGAGCATACTAAGAATTTTTCTCCAACACTATTCTAATGATTATGCAGCAGAAGACCAATATCACAACTTAGTGGCTTTGATACCATTGTCAGGAATCAGAGAAATTGCATAAGAACTCAACTAAAATAAAAGATGAGAAAAGAGAAACAAAACAGACAATAATAGAATTTTACTACCAGAAGAAATTACAATACCACTAGTACAGAATTGGCCTTTTACGTCAGGTATTTTGGGTTTTTTATGTCGCATATAAGACTGACGTTAAAATGGGAGACGTAAATTTATGTCGGACCCTTTTTGTCTGACATAAATTCACATCAATTATCGAGATCCGACATTAATTTACATTGCATATACTATTAAACAGACGTAGAAGGCTTCGAAAATTTAAAAAATTGGAGCAAATTTACGTCACATATTGGTATACACAACGTAAATTTATGTCGCCTATACCATTATGCAACATAAATTTGCTCCTTTTTAAAAAGAAATTGGGTTTATTTTGTCTTACAACAAAAACCTACAAATATATATTATAATCAAACAGTGCATATGTCAAATTTGCTAGTAAATAAAAAATACAATATTATATATAATTCAAACTACAAAAGTTAAATTAATACATCATACTAGTACAACTAGGCTACCTAAAATACATAATAAAACAATATAATACAAACTAATACAAAAATTAAGTTACCTAAACTACATAATACAATATAATATAATACAAATAATAACCTACAAACTAATAAGTACTAGAATTATTGAACGAAAAATCTTATTCTTTGTTCTTTAATTTGTTTATGTAATATAATATTCTGATAGTGGAGATTGATGAATCTTGAAATACCTAAAATATCAATTTGACTCCTGTTAACATACGATACACACAAAAGTAAATGAACTTAACAAATATTGAAAGTAATTACCTATGTCGAAGTAATTAACAAATATTTGTGTATTACATGTGCTTAGGAGCATTTTTTGGGAAAATTGTTGGGGCAAATCCCCCTGTTCTTCACTTTTTCCTCTTTGTTTTGATATATTGTGCGTTCAAATCCGACATCCCAGTAAAAAATTATCTTACTTTGAATATTTTCCATTTATTCATCATAAAACCCTAATACACAAAACAATAACAACACCCTTAAACCTAATATACAAATTATAACAACAACAACAAAAATAAAAAAGTAATATTCAACACATAGAACATTAATTACAACATAAAAGAGGAGACGAGATACATAGAACATTAACCTCAAATATACAAAAAAATGTTGTAAATCCGAAAATGCACTCAAACAAATAAACAGATAATGACAATAACGTGATTGAGATCTCTACAAACAATTACAGATTCAATTTGAACATATAACAAGAGACATAGAATACTAACATCGAGTATACATGAAAACGATTTCAAACTCGAATCCAATTGGGGAGAAATGTCAAATTAGTAAAATGAGACACAATGTTGGTGTTTTTCACTGTCAAAATGATCGCAAATAGTGTGGAAAGGTCACTCTCGTCGTCATTCAAATAGTGTGGAAAGGTCGCTCTCGTCGTCATTTTCGTCGTTGTTCTCAAAAACTCTTGCTGCGCGAGACAAAAAACTCTTGCTGCGCGAGACGAGGGAGGAGTGTGACTGGAAGGGAATAAAAGACAGTTTTTACGTCGCACACTCCAGGAGGTGACATAAAAGACCTCTTTTACGTCGCGCCACCCAAGTGTGACGTAAAAGAGACCTTTTACATCACCTCTTGGAATATACTATCAAAGTCTCGCCTCTTATTTATAAAATTGTCATTGTATTTTATTTACGTCGAATATTCTTGTATGTGACGATAATTAGGTGACGTAAAAGATCTTTTTAATACTAGTGTACCCTCTTTAAATCTAAAGAGAAAACAATAATAATATTCTTTATCAGAAAAAGAGAATTTAACTATTATGAAATGCATTAGTAAAAAGAATAAAAAAGAGATTTGAACTGATTTTCAAGGTAGACACGATACTCCTTTTATAACAGAAAAAATAAGCATGAACATCTAATTTTCCTGAAGTGAGACTTTTTTTCTCACATATTCTTTTTATATTTCCCTAAATACCGCCTTCGGATGGACACGATAGGGTATTGACCCCTTCCCTACACATAAATCAGGCTTGTTGAGAAGGGAGCTTCCGCCTGCTGCGGTAGTTTTGTATCTACCATAACCCACTTTGAGATAATGTTAGTTTGATTATATTTTTTTTATACATGATTTAAATTTAATGTATATTTAAGTTAATAAATTTTAACTTGTGTGCATTGTAGATTAAAGAACTTGAACGACAATCATCTATTAAAAATGGGTCAATGATAAAATTTATGACCTTGTTTAATATTTAATATTTAATTTTATAATTTTAATTTTATTATAAACAAAAATTTACCCACTAAAATAATCACTCCTAATTTCAAAATTTTGCCATTGAATTAAATAAAATTTTACATGATTGTATCCTAAAAAGGATGGAAATATTAGTGATAATTTTAATCACTGAATATTAAACATGTTGTGACTTAGATTTTCTCTTACCATATAAAATTCTCATTATTTCAATTACAAATTAAATTACCTGCCGATTTATATTATTTTACGACAAAAACATCACTAAATTATTTTCTTTCCGTGACTATTATTTCTTCACAAACTAGTCAACTAATCATTAGAGTAGTATTCTCTATAATGAATTTTGAAAAAACAATATTTATTGGAATGAAATTAAAAAAATAACAACTAATAAACAAATACAAATAATTTTATTTTCTCGATTAAATTTATTTTATATAAAACTTTGAATTATATATATATATATATATATGTATATATATATTAACTGTTAAAATTTCATCTTTATGAAATAAAAAATAATAATAAATGAAATCTATTTAAATATTAAATAGAAATAAATAACACAAAATTGATTTCATAACTAATTATCTTTAAAAATATTGAATATCACTTAATATTTTATTTAAATAATATCTATATAAATAAAATAAAAGACATAATACAAGTAATTTTATCTTATTTATTACTATTAGTATCTAATTTGGTTTAGGTAAAAAAAATAATTTTAAATGTAATGATTAAATAAAATAAAAATTTTAAAATATGATTTTATCTTATATTTTAAAAGATATTTCTAGATAATTAAATTTAAGAATGTAATTTAATTTATTTTTAAAATTCAATTTTACGTTATCAAGATGTAATATGATGTGTGCATGTGTAGTAGATTTGATGGGTAATTGTTATTTGAATAATTAACTAGTATTGTTTTATTATAAGTGTGTTAATCACGTGAGAGCATATGCATATTCAACCTGTTCAGATTTTCAAATTCATCATATTTATTATATAACAAAAATATTCTTTCTATCAATACATGGTAATAATACACAATTAATCTAATTATGTTATAAATATGGAGATTATATACAGACAACCAATCTAGTTTAAGATATAGGTGTAATAGAAAATTTATACACATGTCCATTATAATTAGTATTTTGAAATATAATCTCATATTAAAAATTTTGTGATATCATCTCATGTTAATAAAAATATTTTTTATTAAATATGCTCTTTTTGTATTATATATAATTAATATAAATTACTTTCTTACCATAAATAATATATTATAACAATAATGATTTCTAGGATGATTACCACATCCAATATCAAAATTAAAGTTTTTATAAAAAAATTAAAATATTTATTTGTAAAAAATGGTTCAAGAGAATTAACTATTTTTTTTCCTTAATACAAAAAAATCATTAAAAAACATTGATTGCATGTTGCCCATAAATTATTAGGGATATTTCAATGTGGTAGTGACAAAGTAGCTCTCTTCCCGATTTTAAATTCAATCAATGGTAGGATCTTGAAAATATCAACCTACGTGTATGTATATATAACCAAATGTAAGATATTTTCTCCAAATTTACAAATCTATCACTACTAATTCCAACATTACAAGATGAGTATCTTAAAAGCAATAGCAGAAGTTCACAGCAAGCAAATGTAAAAATTAAATACATTCATCCTTTCAAGATTAAAACCAAATTCATGTTTGACACAAAACCATGACAGCAACCTAGTTACAAAGGTAAAAAAAAAAAGGCTCAAAATCCTAAGACATTTTTGGCACCCAAATAGTGCCACTAAAGATGAAAGGCACTAGGTTGTGCCTTTGTCATCCTGGCTTCACCATAGGGTTCATCATTATCCATCCTGCGGTTGTTTCTATATGCTGCATAAGCAACTATGTAAACAATCACAAGGAGGATCATAACAACAATGTTGATCACTGACACTTTCCTCCAACTCTTCTTCAGACTTGCCAGCACACCAGCCTTGCAGGAATCACAGGCATAGCAAAGCAGTTCTTGGTCATTGCTCCACCTGGTGCAATCTGCAGTGCTTCCCATCAATCCTGATCCTAGGTTCCACACAGTCTCATTCTGATAGATATAGCCACATTCTGTGGGGGGCTTGCAGCAACCAGACTGTAACACAAACGAAAACATTGCTTTAATTAGTTGCATGACAAATAGGTTTTACCAACAAATTATGAAGGTCATTTTGGTTTGAGACCAAAAATAAAAATAGTCAAAATACATTTCCAGTCTCTCATCTTATTTTCTAAGTAATGAACTTTCAAGTTTGGCAAATTTCACTTTAGTATCTTACAGTGTCTTTATTAAATTAGATTGCTTTTTAAAAAGTGTATTCTAATTTTTTTACAGAAAATTTCTATTCCTAATTGGATCTAAGCTATTTATGTAGGTATGGGAGTAGTTCTGCATTGAGGAGTGTTTTTGAACAAATAGAAACCTTGAAACTACCACCCCACTTGTTGTTCTGTGCTAAGTTTGTGAAAATAGTTGCATGAAATATTTTGTGTTTTGAAAAAGAAGAGATTTTGTATTTGTCTTTATCGTTTGTGTCGTGTGCAAGTTAGTCTATAATTATCCTTTTTCTTTCCCCTAGAAAAATGTTATGGCATGAGCGTGCACTAAAAAGTTACTTTGTTTAGTGACATGGATAACATCCGGCCCAGGTACCAGCCTCACTGAGACCAAAATTGTCAGTGTCTCAACTACCAATTGGAGCAACACACGACATAATTGAGATAAGGAAACTGTCAGGATATTCTAAAAGATCAAAATATCAGTACAACACAAGAAATCAACATTTTGAAGTCAAAACCTTAAATCATAAAATATTGATCATATAAGTAAAGGTAGCCATTGCTTATATCACACTAAAAGCCATTCACGTAACTTTACAAATAATGTTCCACAGTATAATGTCAAATATAGATCACTAAAATTTCACTTAAAGTAATGAACATGACTAAGCAATTTAACATCTAAAAACACATTTTACAAACTTCATTATTGAATGATAATTGGGTGGGTAAAAAACATGGCCTTAAGATTCTTCTTCTACGGTTTTGTCATCTCAAGATTCTTAAATATTTTGTACTGCAAAAGAAAAGTATATCTCACTCCCACCTAAAAGATAAACCATCTTTGAAGTTTAAAACGTATCCTAGAACATTCTTGTGTGAGTTGAGGGAGTTTGCAAAAAGGAGAAAACGACAACTAGTTAGGTTGTAAGTATACATCATGTTTGCCCTGGCCAAAAAAAGGATACATGTGTAAATAAAGCCTAAGTAGAAACACAGAAAAAGTCAATAATTCAAACTCACTATATAATACATAGTTCATTGAAATCATCTTCTCAATTCAAATTTAAGCACTTATTTACAAACAATAATTCTTTGGTACCATGATTATGTCTAATGAATCTCGTTTTTCAGTCCCATAATCCATTACTTAATATGGTCCTATCATGACACATCACTGTCTATCTGTCGCTACTCACAAACCTGTTCAATGGTCTCCATAAGAAAAATCTCTTCATGGCATGTTACATAACATGATCACTCTTCATATGATGTTACACTATAGAGAGAGTATAGACAATTATGTAAAATCAAAATATGTGAGGTTGACACGTTTTGTATCTTGTAGTGATGCCACACCCTTTCCAAAACAAAGTTGATCAATTATGACCGAAACACTACAGTGATGCCATATTTTGTTTTCTTTTTAATTTGTTCCCATTTGTTTAGGGTGCAATGAATTGGACAGAGAACCATAACTTCCGGGAATTGACCAATGAAAACCCATCACCCCACATGCTGCAGGGTTCATCGCAGAGAGAGTCAGATCTACTCATTTAATGAAACATGCACTTCATTTCCTTCAACTTTGTTTCACTACCGACCCATACTTTCTTTAAAAGCACTAAACAAAAAACTTTTCAAAAAAAATTTGAAACTCCCCAAAAAATACAACACTCTGAATCGATTTACTTTTAGGGACAAAATATCTCTCATGCCTTTTCTCAAACACTCATTTGCACAACTATTAAAAATATTTAACGTGACAAAAATCCCAACGGCACTTCTTTACGTCAACTTTAACGTTAATTGTTTACTCTGATACATGTATTAAAAAAACGGAGTTCAACGTAAGTTTAAAATTTTGTAGGGCCAACCAACAAACAAAAATAAGACCCCTTTTATTTTCTATAGTTAAAAATCAGTTTTAAAAATAAATAAAAAATTACTCACTAATTTTAATTTGAAAAACCGTGAGAACAAGAGATCACACTAGAGGACTGCACTTACAACTTCATACGATATTATTAATAAAAAAAATAACTATAAAAACATTTTTCCGTTTTATTTTTAAATTTTGAAAAACTAAATCACTGTCATTATTCCTGCTCCAACAACCGTTCCAAAATAGTAAAGAACTTGGTAATGTTGTCGTGTTGCTCTTAGAATTGCTGTCCTATGCCGCTAATTAAATGGTAACCCCCGTTAATTTGTCCTTCCGTTACGTTATAAAAATTCAAAAGACAAAGGAAAAAAAAAAAAAAGAGTTCAAACCAATCCCAATTTCCAAGCTCCTTCCTTCTTCAAAGTTTCTTTTCTTTCAACAAGATCACAAGTATTTGCAACCATGCACAACTCACATGAAGTTATATATTTAAAAGTTAAATCTGAAATTATGAGTAAAAAAGTTGAACGATAATATTTCAACCCAAAAAGGCTTAAACAAGTTATCAATTTTTTTGAACATGTGAACGAAAAATCATTAAGATTTTCATGTAAAAAACATCATTACAAAGAGAATGAAGAGAAAAGTGGTTATTATATGCATAGTGATGGAGTGGGGGCAGAAGCATACCTGAATAGGAGTGAGGGTTCTGAGGTAGAACATATCAGGAGTTTCAGGAACTCCATTAATGGTTCTTCCCATCCTCGCACACACTTTAGAATCCCTAATGCAGGATCCAATCTTCCCCCAGTAACTATCACTCGCCACGCGCTCCTCCAACCACCCCGAATAGTCCTCCAAATAGTAATCCAAGTAGGCCCGGTTCATCATCCTCCGACCCGACCCTTTGTCCGTCACCACGTACGCGAATATGATGAACCCAATCAGCACCGCAATCACCGCGAACATCACCACCAGGTACAGCCGCATCAGGAACGTGTTGCGGTAACAGGCCCCGGCGAAACCCGCCAGCGACACCACCATGATGCTGACGCCGATTATGATCAACGGCCACTGCAGAAACTTCAGACAGTCCGTGTTGTTGGCTCTGCTGCTCAGCCATATCCCACCACCTAGGATAGGAACCGACAACAGGAACGTTAGGAAGTTTAGCACACCGATCAAGTGGTTGCTTGTTCTCATCTCACAAACCTTTTCTGCTTCTTTTCTTCTTCTTTTCTTCTTACTGATTTTGATTTTCTTGTGTTTCTTGTTCAACTCAGAAGTAGAGTTGTGAGAGTAGCGGGTTTGTCTTGTATTTATTAGATGCCTGTGCGTGGTGTGTGTTTGTCTGAAATTAATTATTAATTATTCATTATCGATTATCGATTATTATTACTCTATCTTCTAAAACTATAGTTATCATATTAAATAAGGGTATTTTAGTCCAAAAATATAGTAATAAAAATGTGAGCGCGTATGGAATGTGTGTACTCGACGTGGGTTTTGGACACGTGTTTGTTTGATTGTGAAATGACAGTAATAGCCTTGCTCGTGGCTCTTGGTGATTTCTTTGGTTTTTAAATTAAATATATTCATATAGAATAATTTAGCTGCATTTATTTTCTCCAAAAATGGTCGGTCCAGTATAACTCCGTTTTTCGTGGATGAATGGACAAAAAGTGGTTTGGAATGTGAGCAGTGTCAGAATAAAATATTAATCTATAAAACTATGAACAGTAAAAACACCAGTGTTAGTAAAACAATTAGAATAGTAAATTAGTAAAAAAACAACTTAATATATTGAATTAGTTTTTTTTTCTGTTCCAATTTTATATATTTTTTATCCAAAGATAAATAAATATATATATATATATATATATATATATATATGAGTGAGTAAAAGAATGATAAAAAATATAAAATGAGATACTTTATTTACAATAATAAAATTATTGAATTTATAAAGATAATAATAAAATAATGAATAAAAATATTTGAAATTGTATAATATAATAATCGAGATTATTTTAATATTCCACTTAATTTTTATAAAAATCAATTGAATGATTTATGTTGAATATCTAATTTGAGATAAAATAAGATAAAAACATATTTTTTTGTTCATTCCTAAAATAAATGAATTATTTCTACTGTGAAAGAGTAAAACTAAGAGAAATATAAGTTGCTGCTTCCTTTCCGTAACAACAAAATTATTTTTGGAGGTTTATGTGTTGAAATTTAATTAGGTCATGACCAATTATGTTTTCAATGTAATTGATTTCTCTGTAACTTTCTAATGAGTAAATACAAAATAACAATAAGGCGCTCATGAGAACGTGTTTTTATTAAGAAAAATCAAACCTAACAATTTTATGAAAAAAAAAATTCTTTTTAATCCAAACAACTTTTGAGATAAAATATTTTTTTCCTTTATTTTCTCACCTACTTATGTTCTTGTTTCTATTTCCTCTCTCTTTATCAAGGTGAGTATATATTAAAGTTGCAAGAGCTCAAAATTATTTTCACTTTAGATGAAACATTTTTTTCTTTCCAAATCATGTATTGTACTACATAAGTTTTGTTTTGAAATTCGCAAAAGTAGTTTTATAACTTTAAACTAAAATGCATTATTTTCTTGGATATATTTATATATAATACTTAACAACAACAAAAAGACGATGTGAAAATTTTCTTAATAAGATATTTACTTAAAACAAGGTGAAATGTTTCATTTTTATTATTTTACTAATACAAAATTAAATATGTTAAAATTAAAATTTTGTTGATATAAATAACTTTACGACAGTTTATTATGCGTTGGCTATCATGGTAGGTGAGTCGTGGTTTTCTTAGATCTTGTCCACTTTAATAAAAACAAAACAAAAAATAAATTTAAAACATTGTGTCCAAACGAGAAAAGTGGGAAAATAATTAAACATGTGAAAAGAAAGCATATTTGAACAGAAAAATGTATTAATATAATAGACATTATAATTCAGTAATTAATACTATCATTATCAGTATCACTGTAGTTTTAATTTTTAATTTAAATGGATCAATGTATTATTTTTTTATATTATTATGTTGTATAATAAAATAGTACAAGTTACATCAGTATAATTATAAAAATACTTGTATTGTATGTATATTACATTTAAGTTAATATCATAATATATTAAATATATTGACATATAAGATGACTTGCAAGTTAATAACTTATCAATAATAAATATATCAGTTAACACTATGTTACAATTAAAAAAAGAAAAAAACTTAATTAAAGAATAATACCAATTTACTAAAAAATTAAATTAAATTTACAATAAAACAATAATGAAATAACAATTAAAATAAATAATAAATAACAAGACAAAACAAGTCATTGAACTTATATAAAAAATACATTCTTAAGCGTTGTAAAACAAAGTTCTTAAAGTATTTCTTTAATTTAATTGATTAATTATTACTTGATAGAATAAAAATATTGTAGTTTTATATTATGGAAACGTTTGTCCTAAGTTATGAATAATTTTGTGGGCACTACAGAAAGAATCAAAATATTAGTTTTAAAAAATTAATTCAAATAAATATTTTTCAGGAATTATGGTATTTTTTTCCATAAAATCTTTAAAAAATATATTATTTTTTTAACCGTGGCCCTGTCAATATATATATATATATATATATATATATATATATATATATATATATATAATTTTATTTTTCTGAAATTTTTTCTTATTTATTATGGCATTTATAGACAGAGGAAGTGGGACTCACGATAACGATCCCAAAAATAAAATGATTTTATTTAAGATTTTATTAAAAATATATTATAACTCTGCCTGTAAATGAACCTGTTGCTTTTTGTGTGTTCATATACCTTTACCAAATAAAGAAGTGGGTCTCGTTATTGGATATTTTCCTGGCCCATGCAATGATATATTGAATTTGCATTTATATGGGTTATGGGTATGGGTAGTTAAATCTACACGTTTAGTTTCAATTTTATATATGTTTTATTTTTTGTTTATAATTCAAATAAACTCTAAACCGAAAATATTATTTAAGATACTATAAAACAGTTATTTAAATAGAATAATAGAATATAGTTAAATATAAAATATATAGATAAATTAAAACTTGGACAACAATTATAGAAATTTTAAAACAGGAGGTCAAATTTTTCTATTTTAAAATGAAAAGACAGCATACAGATTAAAAATATATATACATCTAAACTTATTCTTTTATAGAACAAAAGTATTATTATTTATGAAAAAGAATGTTATGCAGTAGGATACAGATATTTTAAACTTTAATGTGTGAGTATATAATATAGTTAAATATTTAATTTGCAAATGCAATCTATCTTTAATATAATGGGAGAAAATTATTCCTATTGTATACATTCAAGAAGTTCAAAATATTAATAATTACTTTAAAAAATAAATACATAGTAACAACAATTATTGTATAATACAATGAGGATGTTAAAATATACTTAATACAAAACTATTTAGATAATTTTTTATATGGTTTAAGTCATCTTAGTCTGATGATAATTCATTTTAAAAATACAAAAATAAATTTATTTTATTATATATATTTATATATTATAAATTAATTTGATAAAAAATTCATTTTTTTTATAAATAAATATAAAAATAAGTATATAATATTTTTTTATATTATAATTTAATAATTAATATCAATTTTTATTTTTAATTATTATATTTCTATAAAATAAATGATAATAATAAAAAATACTTTTTTATTTTTTATTTTAGAATAAATAAATTTCTTTTTTATAATTTATATTAAATCATTATATAAAAAATAAACTAAATTTATTAATATAACTCAAATTTAAAAAAAATATTTTTTATTTATTTTTGTAAGGAATTATTTTCTTTTCAATTAGACCCATTTTAATTTATTTTCAGATTAAATAAAAGATTATATTCTATTTAAAAATATAAGTAAAAATTATTTATTTTTTTTACTTAAAAAACAAATCTCCAATAGCCATTTCGACATCACATAAATATACTATTGGTAATGATAATATACTATAGTTCATATTGTTTTTATGTGTGGGCCAGAAAAAAAATATAATATTAATAATACACGAGAGGGAGCGTTAATCTCGCTGTGAACCTTCTAGTTAATAGGATTGGGGCCTAGCTCATTATTACTCAGTGGATCTTCATCAACAATAACAAATAAATAATATCTAAAATTTGTAATTATTAGTATCGAGGGTTATTATTCGACCATAAGTTATAATTATTAGTCAAAGATCAATTTTTTTACTTAAGAATAATATTCGAAGCGTAATTTTTTTTACTTAAAAGAATAACCATGGAAGTATCACGATTCGATTGTAACTTAGTCGTTTTCGTCACAGAATAATTAATACTACTTACAATATTAATAATATTTAAAAAATTCTTTCATATTTTATTTTTTATCTTCTCTAATATAATTATGTTTTTTATTTTCTTTAATATAATTAATTACAAATTATCATTTTTCCTTTTTTATTATATATTTTAAAACATTTTTAATTATATTTTCCCTTTTCAATATAATATATAATTTTAATTATAGATAAAATATTACTTTATAAAAATATAATAAAAAAATACACACACAGGTACACCAGCAATTTTTATTTCCGTTAATTATTATTATTTTTTGTCTAAGATGTATATATGTGGGGCAAGCCTAGAGTTGGCGTACATCATAAATTCAGCTGAAGCTGCATGGTAATTCAAAGTTCCCGAAATTTATGGTCAAACTTTCTTTTTCTTTATATTGTTTTTTTTATTCATACACAAATCACATTCATGTAATGAATACTACTAAATAGTGACATTGTTAAACAACTATTATATCTCACCAACTACAATTATACTCTTTTCTTAACTGAAAGATTGTAGCCTCTGGATTTTTCTCACGTAAAACTTTCAATGTCACAAATATATATCATAACCTAATCTTTTATATAATTGAATCTTATCTCAAATTTGTGACTCAGAATATACAAATACGTTGTTTAATAAAGAGAATGTTTTTCTAATCTTATATTATTTAAAAAATAAATTATTTTTACTGATTTAGGATCTTACTTAAATCCACCACAATTTTAATAATATATACAAGAATATATGTATTTTAAATCGGATTAATACATA